AGAAAGAATAAAATTCTTAAATAGGCAAATTACTTAAAGGAAGGTATTGACATGTTGTATATATATTGTGGAGCAATCATCATGCAATAGCTAAGTCTATATGTTAGGAATACAGTCACGTTTGTTGTAATCAGAGCATGAGAATAAATTGAGTTATAAAGCAAAATATTTTGCAAAGCTTAGGATGAGGGTAGATTGGAGGAAGGGGAAGATGAATTGCTGGGAAACCAAAGAGATTTATTTTTATGATTTTTGTGCAAATTTTTATGTCAATGAACTTATTCTGCCCACCACATTTCTAAACCATTGGAAATAGCTCAGCATGGGTCAATGATAGAATTTCAAGGTCCTCGAAGACTCCATAAGAACAATGGCTTTAGAATATCCTGTGTGTATTCTTCTGTAAATTCCACTCTCCTATTCTCATCTTCCTCCTCAACTTCTTCCAAGTAAAATGTTGTACTTTAAACATTTCATTCATTCATTCCTCAAGTGACTACTAAAAAGCAATAACAGTTCAGTTATATAGTAAGTATTGAATACATATGGCATGGCCGGATTTTCTTAAATGGCTTATCACTGACATATAGGAACTTCTGTCTCTTTCAGCTTGGATTTCTTAGTGATTTAATCCCTTTGTGTTCTAATGTTCTTGTCTGTACTGGGATAATCAAAGGTGGTTAAGAGGAGCCCAAGAGGTGTCTCAGCAGTTAAGAATTCATAGTATTTTTGCAGAGGACCTGAGTTTGGTTCCCAGCATACATATCAGACAGCACACAGGGGACTGTGACTTCCACTTTAGGGGGATCCCATGCCTCTGGCCTGTGTTGTCACCTGTACTCAAGTGCACAATGTCCTCCCACATATGCATAAATGAGATTTAATCTTTTCTTTAACAAAGCAAGTTTGTTCAGAAGAAGCCCGCTTCATCTTTTTCTGCTGCTCACTTGAAGCAAACTCTGACTGTGGAGGCCATCACTTCACAGTTCTCCTTTTCTTTGTGTTACCTTTTATTTACCTCATTACACTTCACTCTGTTTTACTTGGTTGTTCATGTGCCCATTTTATTTACTGAGCTGAAAGCACTTTAAGGGGAGGAATGTTATTTTGCCTAATTCTCACTAAAAATTCAGTAAAAATACGATGACATTTAATTAAGTGGGGATCAAATGATTTCTTTCCTTTAGGTTTTCTTTACTTAAAATAATCTTTAGACATTTTGTAGTATCTGATGCTATAAAAAATCTATGTGACGCTAACTCTGTAACAATGTTATAATATCTACTTTCTTTCTTCTGCCAGGTGGTGTGTAGGGTTTTGTTTGCATTGGGATCTGGTAATTTAGTTATTCCTGCAGGAATGTGTTCTTGTACCACTACTGTGTTGCTGGATGCTTTGGTTCCTTGTTTATCTCTCCAAGCATGCCCACCTACAGCTGGAGCTTTAGTGGGTTCAAAGTCAGGTTAGGCCTCCAGCGACACAAAAGCACAACTATTGTGCTTTACTGTATGTGGAAATCTACACAAGGCACAGGGGAGAAGGGTAGAAAGCTATCTTCCTCATCACACCTGCCAAAAGTCCAGGGCAGGAAAAGTGTGTGTGCGTGTGTGTGTGAAAGAGAGAGAGAGAGAGAGAGAGGGAGACACAGAGAGAGAGAGAGAGAGAGAGAGAGAGAGAGAGAGAGAGAGAGAGAGAGAGAGAGAGAGAGAGAGAGAGAGAGAACACATCCAGCAGGCAAGCTGGATGGTCTTGGCGACAGAACACTTGTCTTCCTCATCTGCTGGATAGAGTCAGCCAAACCACCTGTTGTATTTCAATTCCCCATTCCTCGGGGACCCGCTGCTTGTAGAAAAAAAGTTTCAGATACAGAAATTCAAAAAAATAAAGAAGTTAGAGGTCAGCCTGTTCTTCCCCACCCCTAGGGATTCCCACCAGGTCCTCTGCACTGCCTGTTCTTCACAATACAGGACGTTAGAAGAACAAGGCTCTCTTTGTCCTGCTTCTTTTCAAACCTTCCAAGGGACAAAGGTTCACTTTCCTCTAAAGGAGACAAGTCATAAAGTTTCAGTGTATACAAGGTTAAGAAGTATGCTCCCGAGTGTCAGCTGACAGAGTCACTTTCAGGACATTTTGAGATTTGTCACTTCATTCCTTTTACACAGAGTCTTGAGTGGAGGAGCCTGTTTCTTATGTTGACCTACAAAATATCCAGTGGGAAGTTTTAACACCATGAGGAATGGTTTAATCTAGTTCTTTGAAAACCTGGAGAAGTTCCTTCATCTCTTACTCTGTGATCCTGGAATCACTCACACACTATCTCTGCATAAAATATAGTAACAGAATTGAAAAGCAGTGTTTTCAATTTTCTCAGTGTTTTTCATAATTTAAAAGAGAGATTGACAGGTAAGCTGCTCCCACTCCTCATTTTATAATAGGAGAAACTGATGCCCAGAGCTAGGGAGTGAGTTTCCAGGAAAAAAAGCATGAAGATTCAAGTCTCCTAAACTCTAACCAAGGGAAATGTCAGTAATGAGCCTTCCCATTTTCCATCATACAGAGAGGACTCTGTCTCACTCTGCCTCTGTCTTACACCCAAGAGATATGATCTTCCCAAATGTGTCATCTAACCTCTCAAAACACCTTCCATGAAGTCTCAAGGACAGTGTATTCACAGCTGCCCTAACCTGCTTGTCTGGATAGCTGACTGCCTGCCCTAGGAAGTCCCCTTACAGGACCTGCAGACTCTCTGGCTAGTTTCCTAGAGTAGAGTCCCAATCTGAGTAGCCGTAGTGAGCACTCAGCTAACATCAAATAGCCACACCAATTCTGGCCATTGTTGGAACAGCGATCTCTACTTGTTGTTTGTAATAACCTCTTCTCCCTTTCTACACAGTGGAAACTGTGAGTCTTAGGAAATGTAAAGTTTGAGTTCAAATCCCAAGACTACAATTGATTATCTTTTATCCAATTACTTCATCTCATGAAAACTCTGGTTGTCCATCTGAAAATCAAGAAAATATTACTACTTGTCTTAAAACATTAACTACTAAGTAGAAGATTCCAGAATGTTTGATGGACGTTAATTGTATGACTTACCTCGATATCATCCATCCTAAGTGAAAATGAGGTCATATCAAGAGCTTCTGTCATACCTCACTGTCCATGTTGCTGTTCTAGCCCTCGAAGTACCTTTACTTTTGCTGAGATACAAAAGGGAGACTTCCATATAGTCATCAAGGTGGTTCACACAGCCCTGCTGTATTCTCTGCTCTGCTGTCACTCTTGCTAGGGACAGCTGCTGTCACTGAAATGTATTATTCTATAATAAATGGTGGCAGGAGAGCTCCCTAATTTCATGTTTTGGGTTTTACTGGAAATTGTCTCAAGAGAGTAGTGATCTTCATTCCAATGCCTTCTGATTTTGTTATTTTTTTGTTTGTGTTTTGAGGACTTTCTCTCTTCTTGTGGTCTAGCTGAGAGTCTCTGGAGACCCTGAATGGTTCATACCAAGCTGATTTCATCAGGTCAGGCTTTGAGCCTGATTATTTCTTTTCATAGAAATTATCTTTCCAGAAGCTCTAGAAGGCATGGCATGTGGGCTGCCAGCCAAGCCTTGCATCTCCCCAAGTTTGAATCCCAGTGGTAGGATCCCTAATAGTTCTCATTAAGCTGACATGGAAGAATTCATATCAATTATACTCATCTGAGAGAGGTGAAAGATGTTAACCATTTAAGGGAAGGTAGGTACCATCTATGTGCCACAGTCAAACTTTCAGCCTAGTATCAAAACCTAACGCCCAGGAAAGCTACGGACATATCATTTTGATCTTACTGGCAAGATCTTATATCTGCCTGAAAACATCCAGTTTAAAAATCCAGGCTACCTTGAACCTGTCGGTCTTGAAATGACTGGTATTTGTTCTCATTTTTTGCTTTAACTCTCAGCATCCTTCAGCCACTTGCTAATGGGCCAGGTGTAGGAGAAGCCCAGTAATAACAAGGAAGTGATTTGTCATCTTAAGGGAAGTCACTGGAAATTAAAGAGTCTCTCTCTCTCTCTCTCTCTCTCTCTCTCTCTCTCTCTTTCCCTCTCTCTCTCTCTCTTTTGGTAAAAGCTGTAAAATCTATCTGAGTCACAAAACCATGTGGTGACACTTGGTACATATAGAGACACTGAATGATTATGCTAATTACAGACTGATTATGGGGAAGAACAGAGCTGATTTAGATACTGGATTAGAAATCCACCTAGGGAAAGGAGGTTTTCTGTTTGTTTGTTTGTTTGACTTTTTTAATCCTGTTAAGTAACAACTAAAATAGAAAATATTTCAACCTGACTACTAGCAATAAGCTTACAGCACTCCATGTCACCAAATTTGGTAAATATTTCCCAAATTTGGTAACTTTATTAGTCATAAATATAAATATAAAATACTCATAATGTGGTAAATGTAAACATATATTTAACAAGGCATGTTACAAGGGATTCACAAAATATATGGTTTCTACAAAAATGTATCAACAATCTTTTTTTTTTACTATATATATGTGTGTGTGCACATTCCTGTATACCTACAGAAATTCTACTAAATAATTTTGTACTGAACAAGTGGTATAAATACAGGGCATTTATGATGACCCACATTTTTTAGATGACCTTGATAACTTACTGTAGAAGATGAAATCTAACCTGAACTTTGGAAGATGTTTGGAAGGTTATTATAAATAGATAGTAAGAGAGAAGGAGCATTTTTGTCAGGGAAATGAAGTGAAAGTTTAGAGACAGGAAAAACATAGTGTGTTTCAAGGTGACCAAGAGTAAACCACTGACATCCGAGTAAGGATTCAGGAGAACAGCAGTCTAAGGCAAGCAGGAAATGGAGGAGGCTCAGCTGTGGATTCTTCTGAGCTCTATGCTAGAGATTTGGTGTGTATGTGTTCTTCCACTTATGATGTAGCTATCGTCCAAACTAACATTACATTGTATTCATCAATTTCAGTGGCCCCACATTTTGACTATTTGAGAACACAGAAGATATTCCTGAAAAACAGTGAGTTACATCCAAATTGATGCATCATAGATTGAACAGTCTACAAATTAAAAATGTTCTACTTATTTAACTTAATAAACAGCATAGCATAGAGTGCCTTAAGTATGCTTGGAATGTATTAGCTGGTAGTTGTATCACAAACTCCTTTTTATAAGAAATCTTTCAAAGTCTCAGATAACTTATTGAATACCTATATTTGATGAGTGATGAGTCACAGCTGTTCACATGTGTTTGCCTAGGAGCTTAATGCCACTGTCCATGCCTATTGCACATAACCATGACAAGAACAGGTGGAATCCAAGTCTAATTTCTTCTGAGTATGAATACTGCTACACCATCATAAGTTGGAAAATGGAATTAAACCATCATCAGGAACCATCCCAGAGTTACTATGTTGGGTTTTGTTATCTGGTGATGCTGGACAAGAGCCTCAAGTGGTAGCTATCAGTAAGCCACACAATTAGAAGCGTAAACAGCTGATAGTGTACTGGGTTGAATTATTTTCTGTTTGTTTAACACAGAAATATTTATATTTCTTTATGTCTGTAAGATTTTCATCTATATATGTGTATATATGTATGTGCACATATATGTGTGAGATACTCAATATTTTATTATAAAGTAGGTTGAATATTAGACAATGTTAGATGCTTTTGTTCTATTTCAGGTGACTAAGTGTTGTGAGCATGTTTAAAACAGGCTAGATTAAACTGCTATAATTTGTAGGCTAAACATAATCTGTATGTTTTCCCTTGTGTCTATAGGTTTATTGCAGCTTCACTCATATTGTAAGTTAAGCATTTGTATTTTTAATTACCCAAAAGAAAAACGTATTAGAATGGGCATATACAGGGTAGTATTTAGAGGAGCCATTTTTATGATAGTGTAGGAAGGCTCCCAGAGGAAAGGGGATAGAACAGCTGAATTAAAGGTTTAGAATATGGAAATGGTCACTGGGAGAATTTATATTTGTAGATAGTCTAGAAATCAAATCCTCCTTTTGGACATAGGATAATTCAATAAGTAGTAAAGAGTGACAGGCCGTAGTGATTCACTGGCTGAAATGATGAAAGAAGGAAAAAGAGAAATAGCCTCAGGGTTTTAATTGGTTTAAGTGGAGTGTGTGAGACCAATAACAGAAGTGGGAAATAAGGAGGAACACATTTTTAAACTTGTATTATTGCTAGTGTTTTAAAATGTTCATTTTATTTTTCAGAAATAAACCTTTTCAAGCCAGCAAGATAAACTTCAGTTCCATTACATTTTAAGGCCTGTAAGGCCAGTTATTGGGAGCAATTAAGGTAAGGTACACTGTATAAAATGTGTAGAGACATAAAATATGAAATGTATTGACAACATCATTGATTACCCTAAGAATTTGCTTGAAATAATCCTCTGAAAATGTAATTTTGTATGTAATTCAATTTTCTATTTTGAATAAATCAATACTATTCCTCAGGTAGGGGGTTTAAAATATTATTTATCTAAACTCTTATGTGAATAGGGCCTTAGCTAATTATCATGTCCTATTCTAAGGGGATTTCATAATAGCATTTGAAATTTGACATTGCTAATATGAACTTTCTTGAAAACTGTTGGTACATTGACCATGATTTGACTCCTTGCTCTTCACATAATATCTCTGTCATCTTTCATTGATGCCCCCCCAACTTTGCACAATAAAATATGGTAAAGATTAGGTGAGATAATATGTAAATGTCTTGGCACGGTGTCTTACATAAAGTATGTTTTAGTAAGTTTCAACTGTTATATGATTTTTGCACAAATTTACCAGCATTTATGAACGCTAGTAAAAAACAATACAAAAGCATATGTCCTCTGTATTCAATTTAGCATGCTCTGGAGCAGCCATCTAGGCCTTCCAAGAATTTCTCTATGTTGGCACAGTTTAGTAACCCATAGGCTATGTAGATCCTATGTTTAGTAGGAATCATAGTCAAATTTTGTCAATAGGGAATCAATTGGCTGCATGGCTACAGCCTTTGACCTCACCAAATTGTCTTGGCTGTTGAGATGATGGGATGGTGTTCTCCCACTTTGTCCTGCTGAAATTCAGGACAATGCAGCTTTCTCATCCAAGGCCATGGTCATCCAATGCTAGCAGACAGAAGGATCACTAACATCATTCAGACCTTGAGTTCATGCACTCCCACACATATTATTTATCTTTGTGAAAAACCCACAGTGGCAGGGTGACTGGTTTGAGCAAGTTTTCTTCATGAGCAATTATCTTGGAAGATAATCCATGTCTAACCTTCAGCCTCCATCTCTGTTATAGAATTTGGTCTTTGTGGTAACTTTTCTTTCTGAGTAATTCGTGGCATCCTAAACTTCTAGCCAACCCCAGACACAGCAGCTTCAGTCCTCTGGAGGTGTTTGAATAACCTGTAATTTCAGAGGGAACAAAGGTTAAGGCTTCCCAAAAGTGCAAGTTTTTTTTCCTTAGAAATTACCTGAGAAACTTGCTCATATCCAATATTGTATCTTAGAGCTCTGTATCCCATGGCAAACAAAATGGATCAGCTTCTTCACTGGGTGCGGGGTGAGAATAGAAAGGAACAAACCCGCTGAACTTCTATCCTAGAATAATAGATGCCTATTTATCTCCTATTTATTTAATTAAAATATGTTCTTCCCGCAGCCAATTAATGTTTGCACCAGAAGAAGGGGAGGGATTGATTGGCAGGTTTTAACAATATGTTGTCTCTTTAGAAAATTTTGGGTTCTGCCTCAGCAGCCATCCTTGTGCATTGTTATTTTTATTCTTATTATTGCCATCTTTTCAGAACTGAAGAGCTAAAAATGTCCCTTGAGAAGAAAATCTGAGATAAAGAGGCAGACAGGATTCTTTTACAATCCTGTCAATTACTATTCTGGCTTTGACTTGTCACATAAAGAAAAGATACCCTCCATCATTTTCTTGTATGTCTTCTGCATATTATGTATACAATTTTAGGTCAATTTCACATTACTCTTTGAGGTTCACAATTACATTTAATTAAAATCTTTTAGTAGATTATTCCATAAGAAATATTTGGAGATTCTCATTTCCTATCATAACTACATGAAAACTAGATGACTTTCTTCCATGGGTTTCCTTCATAAAGGGAGGAAAATATACTAGTTACAGCGACGGCTGTGTTAGCCTGACATCCACATCAAAGGAAACAGCTCTCCAAGCAAGACTGTCCTTACAGGCAGACACAGATGTGTCAGTAGCTCAGAGCCAGAAAAACCTGATTTCCAAAACTAGGATCAAACTGTCGAGACAATGCTGCGTCCATGGAATCAAGACAAGTCCACCTGTCTGACCCACCACCCCCACCGCAGACATAACTAAACTACAAAGGTTAGGCAAGCACCTGAGAGAAAGACATCAAACAATTGCATCATGATTTCCCTTGGGGGATTTGGTCCAGAAGACTAAGATTACTCTTTCAAATGAGCTCTAATTAAATACTACTAGTCTCCTTTTCTACTGTTCACAAAACAGATTGCCTCATTTAAATTCTTTCTTTATGTCACACAGAAAGTGGGAGAATTGAGGTTCTTTTAAAAACACTTAGAAGCAGGGGAAGAGAAGATGATAGTATGGAGAAAGGAGAGGGAGGAAATATAAGGTAAGATGAAGGCTATTCAGCATGTGCTATAGACAAATGGTCAGTGGCTGGTTGTCATTCAGTATATATAGATGGAACTGGTTTATGTTAATCACCCTGGTGGCATGGTGGTCATATTCGTTATGAAGAAATGCATATAGGTTAAAATGGATGCCCTTCATACTCCACTGGCTGATACAAGGATAAGGTCAACATCAAGTCATTTTATGTAGACTATAACTTGGGCAGTATGTGAGAAGGTATAGCAAAGGGGTCTCACACACTATTCTTTTAGCTAAGAAAATCAATTATTTTAAGATTTTCTGTAATGTGTTACTGCACCAAGGACATTTTTATGGATAGAACTCACAAATTAAGTGTGCTTCTCTAATTGGAAACTGTATAGACTCTACTAAAACATTTTATTGGAATATTTGTTTCACACTTTAGGCAGGATTCCAAAAGAGATGTGTAGCTCTTCACTGTGATTGTCCATACATGAAAAATGAATATGGGGCAAACATAAGTATGCAGTTAATAGGGAGGCCCTGAACCCTGCTTCTCTACTCTGGCAGGTCCATAAGTACCTCTCCCAAAGACAGTCATTAAGACAATATCTCACCTAAAGTCATCTGGTCTCACACTGATCCCACACTTCTGTTATTTAGTATTTAATGTAAGCTGTTTCTCTTCTTTGGTTACATTCTTAGACGATACTCTTGTTGTGTTTACAGAGCAGTGATGCTTCAGTTCAATTCTTTAAAAGGGATCCTACAGGGTTTAACTATTCCTACTTTTAGCATGAATGAACAGCATCAGCACTACCTGGAAACCTGTTAAATATTCAGACTTTTAGTTGTCCCGTTGAATCAGAAACAGCAATGTGGCTCCTGCAGTCTCCGCTTAGAAAGATCTCCTGGTGTTTTTCTAAAGCCCTTTCCTGTCTAGGGATAACTGTTCTACACTGACTAGTTCCCTCCTTCAGTGTGTGTACCTAAAGCACACCACTCCATGATTTATCATAATTTTCTCTGCATGTACCATAGATACAAGCTCTGTGTAAACTATCTAAAAAACAAAATCTGGGAAGAAAACTGTTTTCACTAAAAACAGTCCCTGACTATCTATTAACTGATAAAATCATTTTAAATAGAAGAACAATATTCCAGAAATGTAGCTCACTGCATTTAACTATGTTTGCTGGGTTTGCAGTTTCAATATTAGCAAAGCTCTTGAAACACATCAATAATGCAAATCTGTGAATGTTCCCTTTTTGTTTTGCAGAAATAGAGGCAGCAAGACTAATTCCATGTTTGGATGAGTCTTAGGAGTTGTATTGCATGGTACCTATATGTGAATAAGAAGAAGATGTTCCTGCAGGTATCTAAGTAGGGAAAATCATGGTGTTGTATTTGTCTCTTACTATGACAAATAGGAACTGAGGTGGATTGAAGCCTTGACTTCTGCTTGCGCAGTTGGATACCTTTGTTCAGGCAGAAGAGCAAGCAGATAATGTATGGTGAGTTTACAGAGAATTGTACATGTAAAGTGTTTTATACAAAAGCGCTTTTCTTGGATGTATCTATGTCTGTTCATGGAGAGGAACATGCATTGTAATCATTTAGCTATCAGTAGATGCTGAAATTACCTAGCAGAGATTACAAGGAATCATCTTATTCTTCAATGCTTTTTGTGGATCAAATTAAGAGGTTAATTGAAAGCATTAAATTTTATCCTCAATGGACCATACAGACAGATCTGCACTGTTAAAAACAAGGAATCCTGGGGATAAAATTATTTATACATTTGTTCAAGTAGAGTTCCTGATTCTACTGACTGCTGAAATCCTTTGCATAGAGGACCAATATTACAAGACAACAAAGAGGAGTAGGTACACCTGTAAAGACGAGAGTATGTTTTCTCACAATGGTGCAAAAGTATGATTGCCAATCCGTTCTTGGGAATTGGGATCAATGGGGAGAAAAGGATGGGTTTCTGCAAGAGGGACTGAGTGACCCAAGGTAAGAGAGTGTAAAGCCTTGCACTTCCTCACAAGATTGTCTCCAGTTAACCCTTCTTGGGTTTTGTATTCATTTTCAGCACAGCTCATTATTAGTTATTATTACTTTCCAGATGTAATGACCTAGGGTCTGCCTAACACTCCCCATTACATATTAAATCCATGTAATGAAAACGATTCACCAAGGCATGGAATTTAAAAGCAACAGATACTTTCTAGGCTATGAGAAATCCTTGTTTATGTATACTATCCTAGATAATACTACTGCTGTCACAATTAGGAGCTATATAGGAAGAAGGGTAACAAGATACTGTAGCCAAAGTTAAAGTCTATCTTAAACGGTATCATTAAAACATAATACAGAAGCTAAGATTTGGAAACCAGGTTTAGAATGCCACTCATATTACAAGATGTCAGAATCATGCATAATGCAGGAGAGGAGATGCTTGCATAGACTGTGCACAAGAGGATTTAAACTTGATTCTTGGCCGTGAGGAGCTGATCTTTGAAGCATGAGGTCTGATAAGATTCTGACTGGCTCAGACAACATTCCAAGGAAGTGTTCTCTCTCCATGTAATGCATATTTATTTATAGGGTGCTGAATGAAGGAGCGTTCGTACAACATGGCAGATTGCACCTCCACCATAGTTTTCATTAATCACCTTTCCTTTGGCATCTTCACCACTGCTTCATTATTGATCTGTTTTTTTGAACCCTCTGTGTGAATAAACGTATGATCACAAAATTGCCCATTGATCAATGTCAGCAAACACATTCCTGCAAACACAACCTTTAACTCCTTTTCTGCCAAAGCCTTTGTTCCATTTCATTTCTCAGGCAAAAATCTGGAAAAAAAAACCCACATGGTCCTTGTGGACAACATATTGAGACTTCATCACATTTACAGAACTGGGTATAAAATATCACAATGAGAATCCTCTTTTATAACTTCTCAACCTTCAAGTCAAAAGGCCTTTCCTACTTGCTCTAACAACAACCCCTCCACTGTGAGTTAAGGGCTCTATTGGTCTTTGTTGCCACATATAGACAAACCACCATCTTTGAATACATGTCCCGAGTACAAACATTTATCCCCACACTAACCTCTCTAATTTGGACATAATTAGAGAAAGGGCTATTTAATTACTGAAAAGTCTTAAATTATAGATGGCTGATTACTTTTGAGTACATAAAGTAATAGCAGGAAATGACTAACAGAGTGTTGCCAAGTACAGAACCTGCCAGGCCTGTTTTAATGAATAGCTAAAGATCACTGAAATTAGCACATTAATTGTATGCATGTAAATTGCTTCTGCTAAGAGCATTAAAATATTGTTCTCTTTGTAATCACATTGAAATTATTTATTTGGTGAGTAGACCCCTTTCATAATTATTCACAAAAGACAAAAAGTGACCTCAGTATAGCTCTACCTAAATCTTACTACAGCTAATTCCAAGCCCCTTTCCATGTTCTACCATGAATACCAATATACTTAGCCCTTCCTACCCATGGAGTCAGCATTCTATAGATTCAAATAGACTTAGACTGAAAATGGATATATATGTGTGTGTGTGCGTGTGTGTGCGTGTGTGTGTGTGCGTGTGTGTGTGTGTGTGTGTGTGTGTGTGTGTGTGTGTGAATGGACTTAACAACCAGGCATATTCTTCTCTTCTTCTCAGCCATTCTCTGAACAATACAAAATAGTAAATACTGTCCTGCTTCACACAATAGAGTTGGATAGCTACATCTGTTATACAAGGCCACCAACTGATTTCCCTAAAAAATCCAACCCATCTTTAACAAACCCATTTTCTTACTCTTTTCTCTTGCACAATCTAGTGGGTAAGGTGGATAACTCCAGATAAAACTTCCTGAACATGAGTCTTGTCTGTTCTAATGATGTGACTTGAATATATTGCTGAGTAATTTGGAGCCACCATGTTCTCATCTGCCCTACAGGGGTGTAAGAAGGATGAAATGAAATAGTGTTTACAGAAGTACCTTTCAAACCTTGTGTCAAAGTTTTCCAGGCTCCCCCTGTGAGGTCCCCCATTCAGCTATGTCTACTGTCTACCCCAGGCAGTTCTTATGATCTGGGAACCATGTTTTAGAAGCATCTGGATCATAGTAGTTTCTCTTCTGTTGCCATCTGTGTACTGTACAATCCAGGAGCAATCCAAGAAAAAGGGAAGGAAAGTAGAGTGACCGTATAGGAACCCAAAAAGACATCACAACATTCCAGACAGCTTTCTGCTAAATGCGACCAGTGTAGAGGCATTCACTAGATTACAGTCTGCTCTCTCCACAGTTGAGCAGCTCAATTGGTTCAAAAGATAGATATTTTATTGTGTAGGGACTTGTTTCTTTTGAAGTTCTGTCCATTGTTCTTGCCTGATATTTGCAGCAACAAGGAGCAAATCTCTGTGTGTGTCCGTGTCCATTTGATAGCCTTTCAAACACTGAAAGAACTCTCTTATCTCCTCTTGCTGTTGTTTTCCAAGGCTAAATATATCAGCTCCTTCATTCATCATTGCCCATAGTATATGGCTTCTAAAACTGTCATCAACTTGGTCACCCTCCTCAACACAGGGCTGTCAGCTTACTACTTAAAATGTGTTTTCTGATAGAATCAGATGAAATGAAAGCTTCTAAATAGGATGGAATATAGACAAACCCTATTTGTATGGAAGATGCTTAAGGTAGATTTACTGAAGTTCTTTCACTTACTCCGTCACCTCATCTGAGCTGTGTAACATTTCCAGAATAGTAAGTACCCAGTGTCGTTGAAACTGGGTGTATCAGTTACCTTTCTTGTTGTTGAGACAAAATACCTGACAAAAATAAATGTAAAGAAAGAAGGGTTTATTTGCACTCATGGTTTGAGGCTATCATGGAAGGGAAGTCATGGAGGCAGGGGTGTGAAGCAGGATAGGGTGTGAAGCAGGGCAGGGTGAAGGGGTGTGAAGCAGGGCAGGGTGAAGGGGTGTGAAGCAGGGCAGGGGTGAAGCAGGGCAGGGGTGAAGCAGAGCAGGGGTGTGAAGCAGGGCAGGGGTGTGAAGCAGGGCAGGGTGAAGGGGTGTGAGGCAGGGCAGGGTGTGAAGCAGGGCAGGGGTGAAGCAGAGCAGGGGTGTGAAGCAGGGCAGGGGTGTGAAGCAGGGCAGGGTGAAGGGGTGTGAGGCAGGGCAGGGGTGAAGCAGGGCAGGGGTGAAGAAGGGCAGGGGTGAAGAAGGGCAGGGGTGAAGCAGAGCAGGCTGTGAAGCAGGGTAGGGGTGTGAAGCAGGGTAGGGGTGTGAAGCAGGGCAGGGTGAAGGGGTGTGAAGCAGGGCAGGGGTGAAGCAGGGCAGGGTGTGAAGCAGGGCAGGGGTGAAGCAGGGCAGGGGTGAAGCAGGGCAGGGTGTGAAGCAGGGCAGGGGTGAAGCAGGGCAGGGGTGAAGCAGGGCAGGGTGTGAAGCAGGGCAGGGGTGAAGCAGAGCAGGCTGTGAAGCAGGGTAGGGGTGTGAAGCAGGGCAGGGGTGAAGCAGGGCAGGGGTGAAGCAGGGCAGGGTGAAGGGGTGTGAAGCAGAGCAGGCTGTGAAGCAGGGTAGGGGTGTGAAGCAGGGCAGGGGTGAAGCAGGGCAGGGTGTGAAGCAGGGCAGGGGTGAAGCAGGGCAGGGGTGAAGCAGGGCAGGGTGTGAAGAAGGGCAGGAGAACTGACTTCTGCAAGCTATTACCTAATGTCCAGGCATGAATTTATACATACACATATATACATATCCACATATATACATATGTAATCAAATAAGGGAAGGTTTGTTATCTGCAAAATTCACACAGGTAACAGATTTTTAAATATTTAATATTAATCATATGATGCTCACATCAGTGTAATAAAAACCCCTCATGTTATTAGAAGACATATATAATTGCCATAATTGTTTGCTCTGTACTGTTTGTGCAAATACAGTTTTGAGTTGAAATTGTATGTTACTTCCTTATTTTATTTTATTTTTTGATTTTTCTAGACAGGGTTTCTCTGCATAACAGTTGTAGCTGTCCTGGAACTCACTTGGTAAACAAGGCTGACCATGAGCTCACAGAGGACCACCTGCCTTTGCCTCCCAAGTGTTGGGATTAAAGGCGTGCACAACCACCACCTGGTTTACTTCCTTATTTTAATATCCTTCATGATGAGTCTGTAGTCAGGAGACCAGGCTCTACTAGAAATCCTTGAAAGTTCACTAATTCTTTGAGAATTTCATAAACACATCTTGATAACTTTTACTCCTTACTCCTTCCCATAACTATACCCCTAGGTCCACCTACCACCTCCTTTCCCTCCCAATTTTGTATTCTCATTTTATTTGTTAAAAATATAACCC